ATATATATATATATATATATATATATATATATATATAATATTTTTTAGTCTTTCAAACCTATTTAGAAACAATTGCAGTTTTTGAACAATTTGTAAACTCTCTTCTGCATATAATATATTGCCATTTTCATAACAGAAAGTTAATTGAACACAGGTATTTTTGAACAGATTGTAATCATGATGACTTACACACTAGTCACCTCAAGAATGGAATATTGCAATGCACTTGGAGCTGCCCTTTACAAAATCACTTGGAAGCTACAGCTGCTCTAGATTGCATCAGCACAGGCAGTAATGGATATGACATGGTATGCCTGTGTGACACCACTTCCTCTGCAAGCTGCAGTGGTTACCAGTTGGCTTCTGGTACAGTTCAAGATCTGACTACTACCTATAAAGCCCTTCATGACATATGGCCTGGTTATTTGAATGCTGCTTATTTCTGATTCAGCAGAATGAATATTTTTCAAGTCCCTTCAATTGAATAATGCCATTTAGTAGGAACCCAGGAGCATATCTTCCATGCCATCTTTTGGAACAGGATCCCCCCCAGAGACCTTTATGGCTATCCCCTTGATGGCGTTCTAAAAGACATTGAAAACCTGATTATTTTCCTAGGAGGTTGCGCAGTTGGTGAGGATGTGTGCTGTTTTTTATGGCTTTCTGAACTCATGGTGTTTGTTCTATTACAATTCTGCCTTTTTATAAAGGAAATTGCCCAGAGACTTTGGAAGCTGGGCATTTTTTAACCCTATATAATAAAAAACAGAATTTCCTGCAGCTTCCTCACCAATGACCTAAGTGTCACTTTGTAGCCTCACATAGAAATAAAAATATCGATTTAGATAGCTTTATCATAAAGAGATTAATCCTTGGTTTGATAGTTTATCCTGAGGATTTGAAGTTTCTTGAACTGGTAAGACATGACATTAAGGATTGAGGTTAAAGGTAGATAGGAAAACTAGGGAGGGCCGTTTTCTGTAAGCAAGAGATTATCTTGATTTTGGGAAGTTATCCTTATCTATAGCCCAGATTATTCAGGGCATCAAATCTTTCTTTTGTTCTTTCTCTCTCTTTAAAATAATAATAAAATTATTTCTGGAAGATTAGTCAAGAACAAATACGCTATTATGTTTCTCTAGATTTAAACTGGTGAACAAATATAAAATGTTTCCTTTTCAGGGAAGGATCATATTTGTCGATTCGTAGGCTGTGGAAGGAATGACAGATTTAATTATGTGGTCATGCAATTGCAGGTGAGTTTTTACTTTTATTACTGTGTAAATTGTTAAGGAATTGCTATGGTTTGTCTTTCTGCACATAAAAAAATGTTTTTCTATTTAAGTGAGAAAGACGGAAGATGAAATCCCAGATATATAATATGTCTGATTTACTGCCAGCCAGTTTAAATATGTTTGGATTCTTCACTGAAGTTCAGCTTTATCACTGAAAATACGTATTTGTGAACAAATTGTATATTGTTATGCATTTTCATTACATTTTTAGCCTCATGAGTTTTATTAATTTATAAAAAGAATAAATCAGTCCTTTGGCTAACTGGAATTATATATACTCTTCAGAAGTTGAGGAGCTTTAATCCATTTATCTGAAGGTTCGAATAGCTTGAAAATAAGTACTTAGAAGAATTTGATTAATCTTTCATTTGCTTAGTTTGTTCTTAAAGCTATACAAATTTATTTCAATCCTCCAGAAAAAGAAAGTTGAAACTGAGCCAAAAAACTTCATACTTTTTTCAGGAGGAAATATTTTTGAAATCAAAAGTGGAGAAAAGGTTGTATTGTTTAACCTTGATTTTTAATTCTATATCGCTACATCTTAATTTTCCCAACGTCTCCTGGGCTATCTCATTGTGGTGGAGGTTGTTCCTGGGAGGGATGAACGAAGAACATTAAGAGCATATGCCAAGAGTATACTGTATATTCTCAGCAGGATCACCCAAGATGTGAAGATCATCCCAGATGCCCAGGAACAGCAAGCAGCAGCAATATAGAAAGATGCCATAAGTAAATGGTCACTTTGGTGACAATGGCAAAAGCATCAACTCATATTTTTACAGTTTTTTGGTTTAGTTCACCCTATTCCTAAGTTGCCTAGAGTTGTATGTTAGGATGGATATCCATACAAATCTTTTAAATAAAAACTTGAGGGGAACACAAACCACTTCTATACCAGTAGTCCTTAACTTACAACCAAGGCTTCCTGAGACCACAATTAAGCATGCGCTTATTCCAACAACTCTTTTTATTCCAATGGCTGGGAATTGTGTTCATCCCCAGCCTGTAATGACTCCCAAACAGTCTCGAGATAAGCACCCATCTTTATCTCCTTTGAATTGTTGCCAACCACTAAAGTGCCAAATTAACTGTAAAAAGCCAACCAGAGTACAAAGTCCATACAGAGTTTCAAGTTTAATCCGAACACAGCGAACAACATTGCTTCCTGCAAAGGTTCCTGTCCCTTTGCTCCTCCTTTATGTCTTATGGAAGGGGCCAATCACCTCCAAGCCTTACTCCCAAGTCGACCCTTTCGTCTTAACTGTTTTTGCCTTCTGGCAGCTCTATGCACATGTACAGTGGGAACAGGCTCCCCTTATTCCTCTGCCTTGCTGCTGTCAGATTCTGAATGCTCTGGAGTCACCACATAACTTCCAGATGGCCCTCGTCCCATCTCTGTATTGGATGCAGGACTCTCGTCCGAGTCCTCCCCAGACTCCTGGACTGGCCCATGTTTCTCCCCACTGTCTGACTCTGCTGCCATCACCGCAGGCTGCCGGTGGACCACAACAGTTAGTTTAGTGACTATTCAAAATTACAACAGCACTGAAAAATATGACATGACTGTTTTTTATAGTTATGACCCTATAGTCAGCACCCCCATGATCATATGATCAAAATTCAGAGGCTTGGCAACTGGTTCATATTTAGGACCAGGGTCATATGATCACATTTTGCAACTTTCTGAGAAGCAAAGTCAATGGGAAAGCCAGATTCACTTAACAACTGTGTTACTAATATTATCAACTGCAGTGATTTATTTAACAATTGTGGAAAGAAAAGTTGTAAAATGAGGCAAAACTTTATTAACAAATCTCACTTAACAACAAATTTTGGGCTCAATTGTGATCGTAAGTCGAGGGCTACCTGTATTTTTATTAAGAAACCACATAATAGAAAATATCAAATGATTGGTGATATAGTATCAGATAATGAACTTGCAATTGTTGACTGGAATATCAATATTGGAAATATTAAGAAGAATGTAGTTATCATCAAATCAAACCCAGAGTCCTCACTTGAGGGGCATGTTTGATAGAGGCACTATTGGAAGACTTAAAAAACCAAATTAAGGACATGCCATGGGGAAAAAAATCTGTCCATTTGGTCCTTAACATGTGATGGCATATAATCAAATCAGACCTCTTCACTTAACCTCTTCACTTAATTTCTCAATTGATCTAACATAGGGATAGAGATCCTGTTTGGACTTTGAGATTTTGGGACTATGATATGGGTGCTTTCATTAGAAGGCTGACATGAATCGTCTTTAAAAAGCAATGACATGGCAATCACAAATACACATTTATAATTAAACTAGTGAGATATTTCCTGCCACAATACCTAAATTCCTTTAAATCATGTTTACAACCCCTGCTTGTTCTTGCCTTATTCCTCTTGCAGAGACTAAGCCAAACCAAAATACCAAGTTACATCTACTTTTATTAGACTATATGTCTAAAAAGAATTTGCTTTATAGTGATGTTGTTGTTTTACTAGTAGTTGAGGAAGGGAACATACAGTTTGCTTCACCCAATGCTTTTACTTTAACATATATTTTTTAAAATCAATAATAAAATTCACTGGGAATGTTTTTTTTGACGCTATATCCTAAAAATTTTTAGCCTGTATCAGCTAAATAATAAAATTAAATAGAATCTATGAAATGTTCAATTAAAATGAGCTTCTGTAACTTATTTTATTTGTTCATGAGTAGAGAAGAGATAAGTTTGTTCACTGATACCAAAGTAGGAACCATTTTGCTACTAAGTAAATTTCCCTGGAAAAGGCATTTATGCTTGAATGCAAAGGTTTGGGCACTCTTAGTCAAGTGTAAGTGAATAGCAGTTGACTTAAGTTATTTTAAGTTATTCAGGAGGCAGTTAAACATAACATTTTTCTCCAAATTTGAATGCATACTTACACATACTTACACATTCAGTGAAGAAACTAAGGCTGAAAAGAAGTTGAAGATTTTAATAAGACAAACATCTGAAATAACCATCAAATCAACAATGAAGCACTTAATAGAGAAGAAAGTAAATGATGGAATGACTTTCACAATTCCCAGACTGGAATATTATTAAAAACCTGTACAGAAATCTCAAACATGTAGTGAATACAAGATGTTCTAAGTACATTTCTGAGCTAGAAGATTTCTTATAAGGTGAAAAAAAAAATCTAAACCAAGAATATAGAGGAAACATTTGGAAGCTGCTATTTCTGCCAAAGATGGTGTTACAAAGCACTGACTGAATATGTGTTTAAATCTTCCATATTTTTGTTTTCCTATTTTGAATCTGCAAATCTCTTGTTTCTGTTTAGTCCTAGTTTGTCCAACAGAAAGCCATTGAAGGCAAAACTAGAAGAGGACATCTCATGTTTTAGAAAGACTTTAAAATAGTATAACAATGAAGAGCAAGCAAACTATATGCTTTTTTTCCCTAAAATCATTTGATATTTTAACTATTGAAGTGCTGTCCTTATATTTGCCAGAAAAAAAAATTCTCATATGTAATCAGTGTACCTGTTAAATGTTGATTACTAAAAGAAGATGAGAAAAAAATCTGGATGTTAGTGTTTTTGTTTCTTTCAGGGGCGGAATTTGGCAGATTTGCGTCGAAGCCAAACTAGAGGGACTTTCACAATTAGTACAACATTGCGTCTTGGGAAGCAAATTCTGGAGTCTATTGAGAGCATTCATTTGGTGGGATTTTTACACAGAGATATTAAACCAGTAAGTTTCTCCATATATCAAAACCAAGAATTTGCTTAAAGTTGTAATTGTTACATAGCACAACAGCTTATTAGATATAAATAAACCTGATCTGAAACTATCAATATATCTGCACCTATTTTAAAAACTAATATTTAATTGTTTATCAGTTTTATCACTTTTCAGTTAACATTATCTCAACATCTGAAATTATTTTGCCTAATAATTGCTGTGAGCCTAAAAACATGTTCTTAATATAAAAAAGCTAAAGATTGCCTCAATTACTGAGACTATGTTAAAAAATTTCTTCAGTGGAGTCAGCAAATTCTGCAGAGGATGTCTCCCTCCCACTTAACTCAGGGGACAGGGCTAGAAATTATTTCTGACATACCTTCCTGTATAAAGAGATCTCACCTGTCCCAAATTTGACCCTGTCTTATCCTGAAGAGCATGCAAGCTCATCAATTCTTCCAAGGACTTTCTCATTCTAGAGATCTTCCCTTTTTAAAAAAAGTTTCATTCTTTTCATTCTTTTTTTTAAATTAAACACCTGATAAAATGATAAACAAACTCATGAACAGCATCTTTTGATTGGCTGGTCTCCATATAGGTATCAACTTGTTCTCTTCCCCAGAGATGCCAGCTACACTGCAGCTGTGGAGTCACTGACCATAAACCTTGCAACTACAGGAGGGTCTGTTGTTGCCACTCCTCCAGGGAGCCAGATCACCCTTGTACAAAAGATGATTGAAGCTTACAGAGTGATTTGTCCCATTTATTGAGGGAGCAGCTCTCTCAACCGCTGCTGTCTCTGCTGAGTCTGCCAGGTAACATTTCCGAAGCTCCCATGGCCTTCTGCTCCCTGAAGATTGTCAGAGGCTAAATCAGCCTCTCTTGCTAATGACTACTCACTCCTCTGGAAAGTCCATTCCCAACTGGATTGAACTGTGCTGAGAGGGAAAGGGAGGGGGGAACAGCACTATTCCATTTCCCTCCTCCCCTTTTCTCCTCTGAAACAACCTTTGCGGACCCTTACCCAGACTTCTATCACAAGGAGAAGAACTACACAATCAAGGGAAAAATGGGCCAGTGAAATCCAGCCTCACTTGCTTTTGCACATGAATCAGATAATTCCCTGCAGGACAAGTCAGATACAGAAGAAGAGAGCTATCCCTAGAATAGGAAAATCAACAGTCAGTCTCCAAATCCATCAGGCCTTTAAAAAAAACAGACTTCCACAGCTTCTTTAAAAAGTCTGCAAATTCCAGATCTCAAGGAACCAGAATATTCTGGCTTCACAGATTTTAGAGGGTCTATAACAAACAGAGATGTTCTGTGTAGCTAGTAAATCTATCTCAACAAAGACTTTTAAGACAGAAGGGGAGAGGGCATGATGTGAAGAGTGGCTCCTTTCTGTCTGCTGAATTCTGTCCTAGATCTGTTCAACCTCCCTAGTGCCTACCTTCATGCCAACATTGATTTGCGGGAACATAGAATTTAAAGATGGGGAAGGTACCTGCAGATACCAGGGGACAGGAAAATAAAGATCCTGCAGCACAGAAAACAGCACTAGCCACAATACACTCCCTTAATATTTGGACCAGACAACTAATGATTCAGTTGTTTACACCCTAAAAAGCATAGACAGGAATGAACAAATCTGCTGTTATGGTGGGTGCAATGGACAAGAACAATGTCCAGTTTACAATCAGAGGCATGGCAGCTAACATGGTCACCAGAACATAGGATCATTTTGGATTTAGAGTCTAATATTGAGCCAATTCAAGGGAGAAAAGCTGCAAGGAGAGACATAAGACCAAAAGAAAGTTCTGGTCTTGAAGCTTATTAATTATCTTTGCAGCATATTATTATGATCTTGTATGAATCTTCTGAGTTAGAAGAAGAACAGTCTAATGGTTTGACAATCTGAAGAGGCAGAAGGCAGAGGTAGCCATTCAAGAAACACATATCCACCGAGGACCCTCCCATTTGTCCTGTTGTCAGCTTCTATGGTATTCAGGAACAAAATGATTTCTGTAGCCTATCTCAGATCCTGGGTACACACATATTCTTTTATTTAAATGATGTCTTCATCCAATCCTTATAGACTGAACAGGGAAGAAAGGACGTTAAGATCACAGTGCAGATCCTTCAGGACCCGACCGTTTTAATCAATGAAAATAAGAACATCTTTCAAATAATACCATCTCTGTGCCGTTCTAGACACAGAAAGAGATCTTATATAGAAAAAATAGATAATTCAGCAGGGTTCATGATTCTTGGCAGCCTTCACACCAGATGATTATTACTATGACCAGATTCCATTCCTCTCTATTGATGCCATGGTCCACGACCATGGACCAGCACTGTGTGTAAGCAGGAACAACTGTTTTGGGGATGTGCATGTAGAGCCTTTCCATTGTATAGATTGCCAGTTTGTTTACTGTTGTTTTGCCTGCTGCTTCACTTGCTATCTTTCTTGCTATCTTTCTTTCATTGAAAATCTTTCTGAAAAATCTCCAAGGTAACTTTTCATAAGTCTGATTACTAATTTAAATAACTTACCTGGTTACATTGGAGCAGTTGGAGAAATCATGTTGATGTGCATCTCTAATTAGCTGTGATGAAACTGAGAAATTTATGAGGGCAACAATTGTATTCAAGCTTTGATTCAATCTATATTAAAATTGTTGTTTCTGCACCTTTTAACTGAGTGAAATGATGTATCATAGGGCAACTATTTTTAAACCAAGGTATCTCAAATGAGCTAACTTGGAGAATGTATCCAAAATCCAGGACCCAAGACTCCAGTGGAACTGGAATTTGGCAAATTTTATAAACCATTTTATGACAAAAATGATCATAAAAGAGTTTAGGATGTAATAGAAATGTGGTAAAACATTTTATGTGCCAATTATTGACAGTGCTGTTCAGCATGGGCTATTGTCAAGGCAGACACATCTCTGAGTGCATTCCAACTTTTCCAGTGAAAGCACAACATTAGACATTCTGTAATTGTTGAAGGTATTGAGGAATCTGATAAGGAAATATCTCACGAAGGATGATTCAGTTGGTCGTGGGTTGTCTAATAAGTCTATTAAATTATTGTACTGAATATCACTTCCTTCTGTGTTGATTGTGCCTATTGGGAACAAAGATTCTGAGAGAAGAGAGAAAAACCTCTCTATGATCTCCCCCAAGATATAGGATAATATAGCTCTCCTTTATTTTCAACCTTTCTATTTTTTCTTCTTCTACTGAATGATTTTTGGCTTGTCATTCTGAAAAAGGAGATATCTCCTCCCACAGGAAGCAACTGAGAAGAATTCTTTCTAGCCTTTGTCTTTGGATCCCATGGGGATAGATAAATGTTGTAACCCTTTCAATAGCTCATTCTCACTTTTCCTCAAGCTGGGAGGACTAACTATTCTTTCTAACCAGTGAGCCCAGCTGAATACTTTCCTTCTAAATAACAATATAATTGTGGTATCAGAATAATTGCATTTAAAAAAAATACATTATATTTTTAGCTGAGTGTATGCATCATATTAATACAGAAGCAACAATAATAATGTGTGATTTCAATATACAATCAATTCACCAACTATTTTTCTAAATAGGTACAACTGAAATATATGAAATGAAAACTCATGCTATAATGTTTCATTTCTACAGTGTACACTTTTTTCTTTTCTTTTAGTCTAATTTTGCTATGGGACGCTTTCCTAGTACTTGGAGGAAGTGTTATATGCTGGATTTTGGCTTGGCACGTCAGTTTACAAACTCATGTGGGGATGTCAGACCAGTAAGGAATTTTAATCAAAAGTTTCAAAATAAATAATGCCTAATTCATTGTGGTAATGTGATTAACAATATGAATTATTTAATGAATACATTTTTCAGGATGGTTTTGAAAAAGTCAGATTTATAGTATATAATTTTGGCAGTACTGTAAAGAAAAAAATGTAATCCTATTCTAATTTTATCGTGAGGTATTGTCAAACCTTAACTTCTGAATACTTTAAGAGGAGAAACAGATTTCACCTGATAAATACAAATGAATGGATTTTTATTACATGGGGTTTTAAAGCAAAATTGGTACTGGTCTTACAAGATTTTGGCATTCATTTCAATATGTGGTAACCAAGGAAATGGATAGGGTTCTTTGCAGTATGAGGTTAGCCACTTGTGATATGACTATCTGCTTTGCCTAGTTCTTTTGGAGTATTTATGCACAGATATTTAGATTCGGTTTTTCTTTTAAGGGTCAGGGAGGAGGAACATGCTGACCACCTTGAAAAAAGCAGTGTTGTGCCTCTTCATAAATAAGTTCTCCTTTGGTCCAACCATCTTGGACAATATTGCTATTTTGGGGGCCATGTCAAAATTGGACTACTTCCAGAGTGAATCACACTGTTCTGAATCCAGCCCTCAGATTGAATCAAGTGTCTCTGCATACATACTTCACTGCAGAGTCACTTGATTGAGCTGGGTGGCTATAGAAATTGAATGAATTAATTAATGAATAGTTCTAATAAGAACTTATTTAGTTATTTCTAAGAATGAAGGGAATATGTAAAAATTAATTCAGATTCTTCTTTTCCTTCCATGGTTATAGATTTGAAGTGACTTTGAGATATTTTCTAGTTTTGTTAAGGGGACAACATCTTCTAATATCTTGACAGTCTTCCAGACCAGAATTTGGATTCTAATTTTCACCAGTTACAAATTCTATTGTGAATGCAGTTTTCCAACTGCTTCAGTTAATTCCATGCTGTCTTTATCAGAATCTTTCACAAAAGTTAACTCAAAAGTTGCAAAATATCCCTGAGTTTCTCAGAGAAGAAACATTAAAGTTTATTTTCATTTGACGGGCAAACTGTTAGTTAGAAGATGAAAGGGAAAAAATAAAACAGTAGAAACAGTTATTGAACTGACTGATTCAGATGATTGGAAATGGTCATCAATTTAATTGAGATTAACAATTTACTGATATCATGCTCCAAGATAAATATCATGGACGTTAAAAAGGGCTTTTATATACACCAGACAAGATTTCATTTCTGGCAGAGTTAGGGCTAGGGTTCCCAAAATTTCTGCTCCAAGAATCCTTTGTTTTCAGCCTTTTCCAAGGATTTCAGAATAAAACTGGACACATTTCATTAAGTTTGTTCATTTGGATAAATAAAGTGTTCTTTAATTGACTGTGTTTCAAAATTGATAAACAATTCTCAAACATTTTAGTCTCAAGACCTCTTTTGCATTCTTCAAAATAATTGAGCACCCCAAAGAGGTTTAATTTATGTGATTAGTATCTAAGGTCACCTCACTTATAATCTTTAAAGACATCTATCATTGGGACCTGGATGACTGAGGCACTTCCTTCTCCCCAAAAGATGTTAGGATGGGCTTGCTACAAGTGCCCTTGATTAGAGACTGCCATCTTAGAAACCATATAAGAATGCATCTGTCAGTTTCCACCTCCCAATGTATGAGCAGACCCTTCCCTACTGGTGTTTTGAAAGCTGCTAAAAAGGGTTTGTTCTTTAAAGATAAGGAACCTGCACTGTTTTAATTGGCTTTTGGTCATGAGATCAAGCTATTTATTATGATAAATGTTTTTATTCATGACTCCTGTTCCATAAAAATATTCATAACTGTTGCTTTTTAAGATTTAATATAAGTATTAATCCCAGTTATGAATTGAAAAGTTGATGCCATTCAAGAGTTGCTATATTAGATTATAAAATATTACTGTTTTGTTAATATATAGTGTTATTACAAGTTTTTAAAGAAATGTTAATAGTAATGCTCCTAAAGTCTAATATTGTTAATTTTTTTTTAATTATTACAATTCCCCCCAGTAAGCCTCCATCAATTCTGGCTCCCATTCATTAAGGTTTTTTGGGTGGAAGTGTCAAACAGTTTGAAAAAAAAAAGCCAACCTGTTGTGGGTTCTGTGATACATTGGATGCTCAGTTGGAAGCCCAGTTTGCAGCTTAAGATGTTAAGTTGAGCCATGGTGCCACAGTGGTTAGAATACAGAATTGCAGGCTACTTCTACTAATTGCTGGCTGCCAGCAGTTCAGCAGTTCAAGTCTCACTTGCTCAAGGTTGACTCAGCCTTCCATCCTTCCGAGGTCAGTAAAATAAGGACCCAGATTGTTAGAGGAAAATATGTTGACACTGTAAACTGCTTAGAGAGGGCTATAAAGCACTATGAAGCGGTATATAAGTCTTAAGTATTGTTGCTTTTAAATGTTTCTGAGTATCAAATTTTATCTACCAAATCTTCAAGCAATTATAGCAAGCTTTTGATTAGAATGAAGCAATATAGATATAATTTTGTAATATTGTGCTTGTACTTTATTTACCTTTATAGCTGTGGAAATTTTTATGTGTATTATGTATACTTTTCAAAAATAAAATAAACTACTCTGCTCAATGTAAAAGTGTAGTTGGTAGCTGTGACTGGCAAAACTGCCAGTGCAAAGATTTTATCTTCAGAATTGTATTCCAGTGTTTATCAATTTTGGAACTCTGAGGTGTATGGGTTTCAACTCCCAGAATTCCCAACCCTGGGAGTTGAAGTCCATATTCTAAAAATTGCCCAGATTGAGAAACGCTAATGTATACCATTGTGTAGGCCTAAATTTGACCTCTTACTCATGCCCATTTGGATTCACTTTGCCAGGGTCAGTTTAGATGTCTGTTTTGGAGTTTCATCTCCCAGAACCTCTCAGTAAACATAGAAGCCCCCTAGTATTGGCAGATAGGGAGAGGCCACCTGGGAGCTATTCTCTTGAGGGCTTTTGTCACCTCTGCATCAGACCCTCACTCTGCAGATCTCCTGGTAATAGATTTGATACATAAGATGCTGTAATACTTGACTCTGCTGTGTAAAAAGAGAAAAGTCGCAAAACTATAAAATAACATCTGATTAAGTAATTTTTTTTTTTAATTTACTTAAAATGTGATCAGGACATGTATGTTAATCTTCTTAAATCCTATTTATATTAGAGGTAGTTCTTCACTGATTGCTTAGCAACTTTTCATAGTTATACCAATTTGAAAAAGGGGACTTACAACCCAAAATCAAAGTTTTGATTTTGGACAGTCGGCAACATGATTGCATTTATTGCCATTTGCAGTGTCACACGGTCACCTGTGTTTTATGGCGGTTTTGCTAAAACCGGTATTTCCAATTTTTTGGCAAAATCATGCCCACAGTGAACCATTAGTTCTCTTAATGATTGTGGCGTTTGCTTAATGACTACAGCATTCACTTAATGATCACCATGGATGCTTTATGAATGCTGTGTTCACTTAACAAATGCCGCAAAAAAGGTTGTAATATACAGTCATTACAACATACAACTGTAATGGGCAGGCTTTGCTATGGTCATATGTCAAGGACTGTCTTATAGCAGAATCATCACAGTATGTTAAAGGAGTGCGTTATCAGCAGAGGGAAAACGTCAAAATAGATGATCAAAATTGTATCAGCTTTTTTATAAATAGTTGATATTTACAGACTTACTCTGGAATATGAACTCTTTTTTTTTTCTTTCCCTTTTTACATTGATAGCCCCGAGCTGTTGCCGGTTTTAGAGGTACAGTGCGGTATGCATCAGTCAATGCTCACAGAAATAGAGTGAGTATGACCATTTACATTAACCTAAATATTTAATAGCTGAAAACTCTGCATGAAGTGTCTGTCATAACTCCTCCCTTTTCTATTTTTTAAATATGCTATATAAAAACTGAAACATAACTGACATGTCCTGAACTTTCCCAACAATTGCCATATTTTATGCTGAAATCATAGTTCATTAACATGTTTAGATGGATCTTTGCTGATTAGGGGGTGCATAAATTAAATATATTTCCAGCTTTTGGAATCTATCAACTTAAAAACCTATTAGAGTTTATGTACATGGAGGATAATGAAAAGAATTATTATAAAACATTGAAAAAACACATTTTGCCCCAACCAAAAATAATTAGGGTTTTTTGTTTATTAGTTTGCTTATTTTGGTTGTGGGGCAAAGATGAAGAATTTTGAGCAATCCAGATAATTTTTTGCCATTGTTTTTGTTTATAAGATTAATTTCAAGACCTTTCTCCCTACTTTTTGTCAATCCTGTTTATGTATGCATTTTTTAAAAATGTATTTGATGCAATGTATGTTTGTGTGTTTATAAATAAATACATTAAAATTAAAAATAAATTAAAAAATTAAAAAAGAGATTGGTCAGGATACTCTAAACTCAGCATCGGCATTGAATTTATACTAGAGATCCAGTAGAGCAGTGATTCTCAACCTGTGGTCTGCCGACCTCTAGGAGGGGCCTCGAGATGTCACCATAGGGGGTCTGTGAAGGCTTGAAGAAATGTTATCATTTAAATCTTAAGTCTTGGGGGTCCGTGGTCATGGTCCATGGCCACAAAAGGTATTTAAAGAGGAACCTGTTTTAGTGAATTATCTTGAAATCTACAAAATTTCTTCTACTACCTCCATTGTACCAGTATCTCAGTACTATCTGGGTCTGAGCAGATAGGATTAACAATTCAGTCTTATCAGTGAGGAAGTACGTGATTTGATGCAGTCTCATTTCAATTAGATCAGGATTTTCTTTTCTTTTTTTCCCTTTTGTTTCATTTCCTGATCCATCATCCTATACTAATAGAAGTAAACAGGTTTATCCAAAGAACCACAGAGAAAACTATCTCATTTTTCTTCTCAGGTCTGATGAATTCCCTCTTTGCATAGTTTGTGTATTATTATTGGAGTGGCATTAAATTTTTATTTATGTGTATCATTACTCGCATATTCAAATAAGCAATATGTCAGGCTTCCAAGTAACAGCCCAAATGGAATAAAAACTCCCAAGGCCAGAGGCTTCCTCAAAGTATAGGTTTATTAGGCATGTCATATTGGCACAGCTGGTAAAAACCTGACTCTGAAGTCCCCTCCAGTTTTCCCCACCCAGTTCAAAGTCCAAAGTTCATCCCCCCCATTAGACATAACCATGCCCCAATCAGGTCACACTCTTCCTCCCGGGTGACTCCCCTCCAGGTGCTGGTGAGAGTGTCCTTGGTTCCCAGAAAAAAGAATGTTATTTTGGCTAAATATTCCCCCAACTATCTTTACTCCCCCTTCCCTTTTTCACAGCTCCACCCAGCCTCACTGTGGCAACCCTGAAGACACTTAAAGATGGTTCCAGGGTCGATACAATATTCCAATCAATACAGTTTGGTATTCTGACATTGGATTATATTGGATAGGAGTGCAAAATACAGATCAACATGCAGGTTTCTTTTTTTCTATAGGAGATGGGACGTCATGATGATCTTTGGTCTTTATTTTATATGTTGGTGGAGTTCGTTGTTGGACAACTGCCCTGGAGGAAAATTAAAGACAAGGTTTGTTCAGAAATATAGCAATTGAGATATCTTGAAGATTAACAGTTTAAGATATCTGATAATTTATTTGTTACTTAGTAGCATACATGATAAATTATTTTCATTGGAATTTCATACGGTGAATGACTTAATCCTTGTCTGCTTTTAGGAGCAAGTAGGCTCTATAAAAGAGAGGTATGATCACCGTCTGATGCTGAAACATCTTCCTCAAGAGTTTAACATCTTTCTAGACCATATTTCTTCTTTAGACTATTTTACTAAACCTGATTACCAGGTATGGCTTCTGTGTTATGACTTGCAAATTTTCTTTACTTCTTAATATTTTAGTTATATTGATTATGTAAGCCTTCACTGCTTGGCTTTGGATATTTAATATGCTCCAATCTATGTATTGTTAAAACCATGTTAAATTCTTGGTATATTAAAAGTGTCTGCCATTCCTCATTAGGGTATATTTTAATCTGAATATTGGCTTTCTATTTTTATATTTCTATTTAATTAGTTTTAATTTTTATATTTCTATTTAATATTTTATCCAGACAAAAATGTATATTATCAGAAGTAAATCTGAACTGTAACAAATTGAGTGAGTTGCTTTCAGTTTCTGTCATATGTCATTATAATAGCATAGACTTGGCTGCTTGTTGAAGCAGGTATATAGATAGATAGAGTGTGAGAAGGGGTGAAAATAGTAGCACAAAAGAATTTTCTTGTAAATTCAGTTTAGTTTTTTTTTTCTTTTGGAGGAAAATTATTTGAAGACCCTGTTATATTTCTGTTATTCATAGGATATTTAAATCTCCAATACTTCTCCTATTACCTGGACATACAGTAGCTAGAATTCTTATAAGCAGTCAGTAAATTTATAGATGAGGCTATGAGTTATTTAGAAGAATAATCTTATTTAATGTTATCTAATAATAAATGTACTGTGAAGATTTTGTATAAAGATCTTCTTTCAGACAATGTCGGAACGGTTTTCAATTTTCAAAAAGATGTTTAAATAAATAATTGACACTAAATACAATTCCTTTCTTTGTTTTTATAGCTTCTCATGTCCGTTTTTGATAACAGTATGAAGAATTTTGGGGTGACAGAGAGTGATCTGTTTGATTGGGAAAAGAGTGGGGCTGATGGTTCTCTCACTACTACCACTACTTCAGCTACTCCTCAACTGCATACTCGACTGACCCCAGCTGCTATAGGGTATTTTGAATCATTTCTTTGAATGTTAGATGAATTAGCATTTCAAGTTATAAGTGCTTCTTCATGGATGATAGGATTACAATTATTATGGAAACAGATACTCCTTCATAATAAGATACTGACAAATCTTAAAAACTTAACATAAGATTATCAATCTCATGTCAATATAAGATTATCAATCTCATCAATCATCTAAGATTAAGTTCATGTATTTTAGATTGCTTGATGGATCCAGATTTAATATTCTGTTTAGAATGGTGAAATAACTTGCATTTGATCACATTGACTATTAAGATGATAGAGGACTAACTTAAATCTTTTGGAAGAGAAGGGTCATCTCCAAATTGATGTCTTTCAGAGGTCTCAGGAAATACTCATTCATAATATAGCCAGGTTGAAAACAGTTCAGATGGCATGATGCAATTGGGAAGAAATTCCCAAACAAGCAATCTTTATTACACAATTCATTCTAATGGTTATTACTTGGTGGGAGAAACCAGAGGCAAAAGTGATAGAATAGTATCATATCTTCTGTTCCTTATCCTAATGGGTAGCATGCTGACTGTAAATTATGATATCTTCATAAGCAGATGGAAACCTGGAAGTTAGGGAAGATTGTTTTAGCGTTACTGAAGCTACCTACAGAATTTCTAAATTTCAAGATGCATTTAAAATTTTACTTTCTAGAATTCTTCTAATCTTTTTGATTCCATTAAAATGAATGCCTATTTATTGTTTTCCAAATTAGTACTTAAGAAAGTCACATAGTATTGATCTTCTAATCTTGTTTTCTTGTGTGATATGAACTGAGGAAGATTCAGAAGCATGCATAAACAAAGAGATAAGGCAGGTAAAGTGATAGGCAAGGTAGTATTCAAACTAGACCTCTGGGGTCTTTAGAAGCTTGCAGTTTACATAAACATATAATTCAAAAATTAGGGAAAGCATCATATAATGCATGTTTGCAAGACCTATAGATTTTAGAACACTATTGATATAATATTGTCCACAGCACTGGGTTACAAGTATTTATGTTTGCATGTTCCTGCTATTGAGATTATATCTGGTGCCATATAGGATGACATCTAATTAAAGACATTATGGTTTGTTGATCAGTTGATCTTCTAGACAAAACAGTATTGTTCTTGAGATTTCTGTGTGTCTGACTATAGGTGTGCATGAATATACACTGCTTGGAGATGTTTAATACCATGTCTTGAATTCCTGGTAGACAGGATTAATGACTGCTTTCCTTATGAAGCCAATTCTCCCTCTTTTAGAAGAGGATGGGGAAGAGCCATAACTCCTGTCATTTAAGGAAGATAGTAAGTGTCGGTTTAGAAAAGAAACTGGGACATCTTTAGTATTAATTTTCACTTTTTTATACATAGAATTGCCAATGCCACGCCAATACCAGGAGATTTATTACGAGAGAATACAGATGAAGTATTTCCTGATGAACAACTCAGTGATGGTGAGAATGGCATCCCTATTGGAATCTCACCAGAGAAGTTACCAGAGTCCCCTGGACATCGTCTTCAGGAAAAGGATGTGTGGGAAGAAATGGATGCTAACAGGAATAAAATTAAATTGGGTATACATAAAGTAAGTGTTGCAGTTGAATAAATGATAACATTTACTTTTTCTCATGTTAACCTGTAAATACTCATCTTATTTGTCCAGCAGTGATTAATCAGGTATCCATAGAAAATAAATAGAGTATGATGAACAAAACAATTTAATTTGTCCCTGATGTATGATAGATAGACAGACAGATAGATAGATAGATAGATAGATAGATAGATAGAGACAGACAAGTTTCATTTCTAGTTGTTAATAGTGCTGCCGAAACTATATAGAACAATATTGATCTGTTTCTAAAAATTTTGAACATTTCAATTAATTTCTTAAGAGAATGATGAAATGGCTTTGTCTTCATGTAGTGCTAATAGTCTTAGTCCTTTCTCCATAATGTTTATAGTGCTAATCAGAATATTTAGTTAAGAATTTTAATATCAGTGGGTATCTCACTACAAGTGCACGTATTGTTTGACTAATGATTGGTAAGCAACATCCACACACAGATGAGATACAACATGAGGTTAGAGTTGAAACACACACACACACAGGCGCATGTGTGCGTGTGCGCACACACACACACACACACAAGACACACACTCAGATAACTGTTGTCCAGTCATGTCTGATTCTCAAAGACTGCTCGGAAATGTTGCTGCAGTTCTCCTGGCAAGGTTTTTCAGGAGTAGTTAACCAATGTCTGTTTCCCAGGGCTGAGAAAGAGTGATGAGGCCAAGGTCACCCAGCTCATTCAAGAATGAGAGAAAATGGGAATTACAATGATAATGAAATGTAGCAGGTTAGAGCAACAAAAAGCAGAATGCTGAAGAAAGTAGGTATAAGAAGGAAATTTAGGAGTAGGAAGCTAGGGAGGCTACATGAGCTCATGGAAATTGGGTGAACAGATCTACTGAAGTTAGGTGAGCTAGTAGTCAAACTTGATACTGGTATAAAATAACTGTTTATGTTAAATCATGTTTCTAAAATCTTGTAACAGTTTTGCAATAAGAATAACTGATTTTCAAACAGAGGGAGCATGCCAGAACTATTTTTAAAATCACATTTGGAAAATACTTTATATAAAAATTATCTTACATTTCCGTTAATTTATTTTTTATATTGTGGCACTCCTTCATAGGCTACTACAGAAGAAGAAAACAGTCACGGGCCAATGAATGGACTGTTTAATGCACCAAGTCTTGGTTCGCCAATTAGAGTCCGTTCAGAGACCACACAGCCAGATCGGGATGTTCCTCTGGTACGAAAGTTACGATCAATCCACAGTTTTGAACTGGAGAAGCGCCTGACTTTGGAGTCAAAGCCAGATGCAGACAAATTTCTGGAAATCTGGTAGGTAATGATTTGTTTTAGGCAGATTTTCCTTTACAGCTGCTTGGTTTGGTTTTATCTTTATGGGTATGTGTGTATGTAATTTTCCACTGTTGTTTAATTAGAATATCTGCAGTAACTAATTAGAATTAGTAATGAAAATATAGATGATAAGAAATGAAAAAAGTATTTTGTTCATATAAAAAGCCAACCTGCCATTTTGGAATAGGTTGCTGAACATAGAAGATATATAAATGACCCCACAAAAAAGGTGAGAGGCTTTCAATTATCATGTCAACAATGGACAATCCTGAATAGAATTTGCACCTCACAAAGCGTCTGCTGGGACTCTGTATAAATGGGGCATAGTACCGTTCCCTCAGTGTGACTACGGGATCCCACATCAAACTGTATCATGACTGGCTGTAAGCTGAAGACATATACCAGTCTAATATCTCATTTTTTTTTATTTTAATGATGTTGCCCTTCAATGGTTAGATGGCTTAGACATTGATATTTGAACATAGATCTGTTTTACATTTGTATTTTATTGTGTTTTACTACTCTAAGTGAAATGTGTATGTGTGTGTGCGTGTGTATGTGTATATATTTGTTTTCTTAAGTTTTCACAGGTATTTATATGTATGGTATTCAGCTTTGTTCGGGTATTTTCCCACGTCATTATAGTTGTGCTTTTAAAGTTGTAGCAATGTTTCGGCAGAATCTCATCTGCCATCATCAGACTTCTGTATAGTGTTCATCTGTGAGTCAGACAGCCGTTTCTGTTTTAAGTTTGGGGCTAGCCTACTGCTGTTTTCTCTTCATCCTGATTGTTCTGACTCACAGATGAACACTATACAGAAGCCTGATGATGGCAGATGAGATTCTGCCAAAACGTTGTTACAACTTTAAAAGCACAACTATAAGAACGTGGGAAAATGCCCGAACGAAGTTGAATACCATACATGTAAGTACCCGCGAAAACTTAAGAAAACATATATATATTCGTAGATTTTCACAGGTATGTAGATCTAGGTGTGTTTGGGTGTCAGGAAATTACACCACAAGAACTCAAGAAGTTGCAACACAGCAAATGACCCAGGATATCAGAGCACAAGACCAAGGATACCACAGTCTCACAAGGTCATCACACAACCCATTACTCAAGCCGTTACTACACAGGAGGCTAATGGAAAAGAGATCAAAACACAAACGACCCAGGAGATTACAACGCAGGACCCAGGATACCACAACAAAAGAACTTGCAAGCCCATCACACAACCCATAACCCAAGCCATTAAAACACGAGAGGCTAATGGAAAAAAGATCACTACAAAACAAACGACCCAGGAGATCACAGCACAAGATCCAGGATATCTACACAACAAAACTCACAAGGCCATCACACAGCCCATTATACCAACATCATCTCCATCAACCAGTCAAGAGGCAGCAGTGCAGCCAACCAGCCCAGCACACCAACCCCCACCACCAGTATTTATAGAGAGACGGCAGCCCCGATCATATATTGCTTGCACTGGCGCGAAGCCGAAAGCACCAGCCTGAGGATGGTGAGTGGGACCTCGCTGAAACGTCGCCAAGATACTCTTAATCTTAGATGGGAAAAGACCCAAACACACCTAGACCTATATATATAGAGAGAGAGATAAATAGATAGCCATCTGCTAAATAAATAAATAAATTTTGCAAACATTTAAAATACACAGAAATGTCCTCCAAAACATGGATGCAAGAAACTATTTTCCATGGACAAATAGTATAGTATGTATTTTATTTCCATGGATAACTAGAACCACCTAATTGTTTCTAAAACTTCCAAGATTTTAAAAAATATGTCTATTTAGATGATGTCCTGTGGATTTTGCTTTTTATTGCTCAAATACTACAAATACACTGATATATTATTTTTTCCTTTTATCATTCCCTAGCTTGGAAAAAAAGAAAAGAGATCTTAATGGTGGCAAAGAACCTGTAATTCCAACTTCTCAGAAAACACGTGCTCCTGCTGCTGCTTCCTGTCAGGAACATGTCTGGCATTATGATGAAGAGTATCTGCCTGAAGCTTCCAAGCTGGGTTCAGGTCCATCTCCAGAACAGGGTGATGGGGGTGTTAGCAACGGATACGTCGCTGTTAATTTGAATTCTTGCCAGCAGGAAGTAGATTCTAAGGAATGGGTGATTGTTGATAAAGAGCAGGACCTTCAGGATTTCAGAACTAATGGTGCTACAGGGCATAAAACAACTGGAAGTCCTTCTGATGAAGAACCTGAGGTACTCCAGGATTTTGAAGAGTCCCCCCAAGAGGATAAACTTGGACTTCAAACCAAGCGTACACCTAATGGAGCAGCAGTTAATTTAGGTGCTGAATGTTGTGGAATTGCAGCTTCTGAACAGTTTACAGATCAACTAGAACTCCCAGTTGGAATTACTGGCCATGCTCTTGCTGTCACGCCCACAAGCCTAATGGAGGCACAAGCAGAAGGGGCTCTTACTCCAGTAAGTAAACTAATAGCCAGAGTCTGTTGTAGTTCAGGCAAATTAAGAAATTGCTGACTGAAAACATGGCATTTGGATTACAATCAAAACACTGTTTAGAGATGATAATATGCTTTAGTTCTTTGAAAAGAGGGTGAAAATGTTCATAGCATTTTTAGAAATACATTCCAAATACTGTGCTAAAAATGCATTTTTGCAATGCCCAGAAATCTTGCAACTGATTTTATTATTGTATACACCATTAAATATTTAAACAACAATATCACACCAGAAAAGCACAATAACTAAGATATGTGAACAATTAATTATTTGCATAGAGTATTTTCATAGAGTATTTTTTAAAAGGTGAATTATAGCCCAAAAGGAGGTAATGATTATTTCAGAAATGGAGAAAACTTATGGAATGCACATATGAGCTTACTCCATTTTAAGTCTTTATTTTCAGATGCTACAACTGCTGTTAAATATATGTTTTGCTTTAATATATTCTAGAAAGGTTTAACTCTTATATGTAAAAATATAAATTGGCTTCACTGCCTGATACCTGAAAGTATTTTATTTGCCTGAAACTGTACACGCCAAGAATCAGTCACTACAAATATCTTCCTTCTTCTGGACCATGTTATTTGAGCATCTTAACATTTTATTTCAGATTTTAGATTTTCCAAGAGAATGGTTCTGTCTTCTTTTTTGGCCAATATCATGGCCATTGCTGTGCCTAGATTTTGTTTGCAGTTTTTCTTACAATATATAATTATAGTAGATACTATATATATCTTTGGAGATTCTCAATCATCCAGGTTATACTTGACCCACAGGTGCTTTTCCAAAAGGCAACTGCACTTTAGTTTATGATAAAGCTTTCAAAGAAAAAACCCAATAAAGTCCAGGTGCCTTTTGGAAAAGCACCTTTGGGAGTACATGGTATATTTTTTTCATTCAAAAAAAGAATAGCAATGACTGAAAGTTGTATTTCTGAGCATAAGATTTGTTATAAACATAGTTTGATCTGTGTCCAGCCGTAGGGATAGAAATCATGTTTGCTTCTTAGCCTCTTGCACATATGCTTTTTCTGTAACTCTTTTAATATTTATTATCACTAAATTGAAAACTACCTCTTATTACTAACACAATGAATTGATTCGACCATAAAACAAAATCACAATTTAATACTACAAAAATATACCATTTAAATATCCTTCTCCTGCAGATAATGTTCAAAATTCTTTATTTTCTTTTTGATAAATAATAGCTCTTTATGATATTTGAACTCAGACTGAGAATAATTGAAACCAGGGTAGGGAAGTAGGAAGTGGTTCCTCTTTCAGGAATAGGCTGATTTGGGTTTTAGCATGGCATTATCCATGGCATTATCCATGCTATTAGTGCAGTGGAAATAGGCTTTGAAACCAACATTTCTAATTCTTGTGACTAACCCAGATGTAGCAGCAGAGTGGACTGTACTTCCTGTATCTGGTTGGGAAGAATCTGCCTTCTTCATTTGTTCAACTTTTGCCTTCTGTGGACACCATGGATGTCAAAATAGTGATCACACACTTTCTTCAATTCTGAAGATGTTGGTATGCACATAATATAAATAACCTGGATTGTCCTGTCCCTTAGTGTGAATTTAAACAACCAAATTAATCATATAGGAACCAGTATTCTCATTTGTGGACTGCTATGCTAGTCCAATTTTTTGTGGACTGCTATGCTAGTCCAATTTTTTACTGCTATGCTAGTCCAATTTTGTATACATCGCATCCTGTTTCAAATAGCAAAAATTCTTGGATAAAGCCTTTCTTGGTGTTTATAACATCCATTAGGAGTCTTTATCAAATTTAAGAAGATGGTAGTTCTTGTCTATTCTAGCTTCCATATCCAAATACTGATAGTTTTTTAAAGCTTGGCTTAGCTTCTCTTCTCTGATTTCTCAGAGACATAATGCATTGCCAGTTTCACCCAGATCTCCTTTCCCCCTCAAACTCATTATGTGGAGATTACATGTACAATTCTTAGTTGCAGTAGATTAGGTCTTTGCTGGAATGGAAGTCTTAAATTCAGAAAGTTAATATGATAAAGTGGGACAGATTCCTCAGGTTTCCTAACCTTCCATGATGCCATTCCAAATTTCATGCTTTGTTATGGAATTGTTATTGTGGCTTAAGAAGAGACTTTATTTTGTCTGTAAAAATGTTATCTTGTTATAATCTTCATAATCTGATTAAAGGAATGTCTGTTTTTTCTCACCTGGCTGTGAAGCAGTTTTATAAAAGTTGTACAGTACTTTCTTTTCTGTGTGTCTGACAATCAAAGCCCTTTAAGACCTTGGCTACACGACCTCTTCATTTACTCTTTCAGAAGACACCATTAGTCATTGTGATCACATCAGTCTGACATTCAGTCTGACATTCCAGTGAGATCCATGCTTTTGTATTCAGGCGAATCTTACCTAATTTTCTATAAGGAGAAAGTGAGTCTGTGGTCTCCATTTCACCACCTGCTGAAAGCAGTCTCTCATTTTCACTTATGCTAAGAAGAGATCTTCCATCTATTTTTTTCAATACCTGAAAATTCCTGAGAAATAATTGTGTATATGCTTTAGATAGCTTCATTTCTGATTCAATATAAGAAAGATCCACATTTATTTCTCTCTTGTAATAGGCCACATAAATGTTTTTTGCCAAATAAATCACATGAACAATTATATTTGGACAGACACATCCAGATTTGCTATTCCCCGAAACTGATGGCTTCATCAGCAGTAGGATCTTTCTTTAACATCAGTTGGGCAGTCACTTTATTACAGCAGTCTGATCTTAACGGGGATTGTTTTCTTGAGAGGATAATTTGGCAGGACAGTTTTATTCTCAGGTTTTTTTTTTATTGTTTACCAACCTCCTTGTATAGTAGCTTGCTATTGAGCTGTGTATATTAATCATAGAAACCACTGGTTATTTACTTGTAACTGTCATTCTTAACATGGCCATTTGTGAACCCAAATACCAGCCATCCTTTCTTCCGACCTGGTTTCAAGGAAGCATTGTCAGTATTGGCCTGTTGTGGCTTGAAATGGATGGCAGTGGCAGGAATCCTAATTTCACATGCTGAACCTAGTGAGGGAAATGGGCTTCCTACCCAAAGTCTAAGGTTCCAGAATGCTCCATGTAAGTTACTGTGCATGTGCAAAACCGATACATGCAGATTCACAGATAACTACCTAAAAAACTGCAATTATAGGTAAGTAACCAGGACTTTTGTCCTATTATTCTGAAATAGACATTATGTGTATCCGAACCATGTGTTTACAGTAGTGTTATATTTGCAAGCTGATAAAAAATGCTGCTTGGAATGAACATTGGGTCGGATCCAGATTTTATTTTCCTGAATAGTTCCCTGAAGAGTTTTCTAACACCACAAAGAATATTATGGGGAAGTATAAAGGAATAATAGAGCAAGAGAAATTAGCAAACATTGCTATACTGCGCAAAGAAGTGTTCTCCTTCTATAAATAGAATAAGCTTTTCCAATTGTGGAAGCAAGACCTGGATCCAATTCAGTACATTTCACTATGGATTATCTTTGTCAGGTAGGGTTCACAAGGCAATCACATTTTTTAGTAATTTCTTTTACCTAGTAGCATTATTTTATAACAAGTTTTCTGAATTTTCTGCGTTATTATGGCATATGGGAAAATATTGCTAAATCATAGGAATAAATAAGTTGCCTTTGTAGTTTCATTTTAAAAAGAGTTATGATTTATTATTGGAAATATCAACTGGAAGAATAATGTATAAAACTAGATAAAGAATAATTAAATATGTGAAACATTTTCTTTCTTTTCCCTGCCGTATTCTCACAGCTCAGCTCATTTCATATGTCGCATTTCTCCATCCCACGAATTTCAAGCCCCAACATCTTCTGCACCCTGAACCCTATATCCCACTTCATCACCCACATGGATCCTAAGAAAGTGACAAGCTTTCCAAGGAGTCAATCAGCAGAGAGCCATTCCTCCTCTTCCTGGTCACCTTCCCGTAGGCAACTTCCTGTTATTCCCTCTGGAAACAAGTTTCCCCCTGTCATTCACATCTCAAAAGCACAACTCCAGCAGGTGAATGCATCTTCATTTTCATCAAAGCAACTGTCATTTGAAAAGTTTTACAGTTCTGAGGGCTAAGATTTGATTTATTTGTCTGAGTGGGAAAACTGAAAGCTGGGAGATACAGCTTTTTTGAGAGAGTCGTTTTAAAGAAGTAAACTGGTTTAAAATGATACCAAAAACTTCACAGGATAGGTCAGAGTGAATACACTAACCGAACTTTTATGTAGCAGATAAAATTATTTTTCAGAAATTATGAATGACTTCTTAGTATTTCAAAGTTTGGGGAATAGTTTCAATAAATAATATTCAAAATTAAAGCTGTTAAAATTGAAACTGATATATTAGTATAAGAAAGAGAAAGAAAGGACCTCATTTATTGAGAAGGTAAATATTTGCATGTTTCTTTTCTTTTAACAAGTAGAATGCTAAAATACGTATAGTTCAAGATGGGTTTAATAACAGGAATCAGTAGTATTAAGAAAACTGTTGAATGGAAAACTCCAATTAATTTTTAAGAACACAATACTCAAGCTTGCTTTCTGTTTAAAAGAAGCAATCTTATAGATATTATCCATGTTATTTTAACCTATAAGAAAAATAACTTTATATTAGTAGAGAAATTACTTACAATGATTATTAATCAATAAAGCTTAATCTTTGATTTGACTCCATTCCACCACAAACATTACCATATGTAAAATTTATTTCTGCATGTAACTTTTTGCTTTATATATAAAATACTATTTATCTCAATATAAATTTTTGTTGCTAATTGAATATTATTGAGCAATGATAAAAAGATAAAAAAATATTGCAAAGGTCAAATTTTTTGTCAGTGAACTACATAAGCCATCTTTTCTATGTAGCAAGAAGTAACCTCTTTAATTCGATTTCATACATTTTTGGCCCTTGATATTTTACTTTTTTTATAGTGAAAATGCAATTATTATTAAAAACTTAGTCTTAATAATTTAGGAGTTAGCACTTTGATACTGGGCATTAACTGCATAATCTTACATAATGGTCATAGTATCCAAAATTGAATAAGAAACAATACCTGCATTTTCAGAATTATTATTTGTTTTTTAATTAAGTAACTGTACTGTAACATGAAGACAAAAGCTGAAAATATATTTAATATTTGAAAAATTAAAGAATTGAAACAAAAAAAACATTGGATGGTATCTAATATGTGTAAGTATCAATTCTATCTAAATAAAAAACTGATAGATGTTTATAACTAATAAATGATAGCTATATTTGAATACATCTACTGTAACCTCTCAATTCTTTGGTGCTATGTTATTTTTTTCAATCAAATCAGTTTCTTATTTATTCAAAGAAAATAATAGCCTGTTATGTGTTTTGTGGTAGTTAAAGTCATCTGAAATGTTGCAAAATCACTAAATCTTACGAGAATTCTGAATGCAAGAATCTATTGGAATCCAGTGCAGGATTGCAACTGAATGAAATCATCATGTTTTCCAGATTACTACCTATTTTTATTATATTTTTTCTTCTTTTCTTCTTTCATGTCAATTTCTCCCCCTTGTTTCTTCTTATCCTATTTGTATCTGTTTAAATCAAGAGTATGGAGCATTTTTATTTTTACTTTTGAGGATAATATTCCTTTAGGAGCCCCAAACTGCCAGTAAGTGGAGTCAGAGCACAAATTAAATAGGGCTAACCCTTTTCTTTTTCTTTCCTTTGTTCCTTGGTTTCAGAGCAATCATCAAGAAAAACCTCTTGATTTTTGTAAAAAATCATGAATATTTTTCTTTATACATTTTTCATAACTTCATCCTATTTCATTACATCAAGGAAATAGACAGTCTTTATTTGACCCAAGTCTGTCTTCTCTTGCAATTCATAAAACAAGACACCTCTCAATCTATTATTTAAGGGCATCTGTCTTTTCCCCTCACTTTTTCTCAAGTATTCAACTTTCAAATCTGTTCATGACAATTGAAAAAGCACTTTGATTAAATGTTCCAAGTTTTGTCATAATTGAAATGTTCTTCTACTTCATGGTCTTGTCTAAATTTGTTGTTTTCTCTCTTCCTAGATAATCTCTTTATTTTTCAAACACCCTTTTTATTTTTATCTCTTCTTGATCCCAAGGAATATGTTTGTCTGTGAGTCAGACTTTCACAGCCGTTTCAGTTTTAAATTTGGGGCTAGCCTACTGCTGTGCCAGAATGGTGTTTTTCTTCATCCTGATTGGTTGGGAGTCTTGATCTGTGTTTATTGGTCTTGGAGTTTGCTGTGTTCTGCTTGATTGGTGTTTCTAATATCTTCTGTCTGTTTTGTGGCTTTTTTTGTCTTGATTGGCTGGCAACATTGTGTTCCTGTATTGGAGGCTTTTAGTGCAGCTTGGCTGCGAGTAAATGTACGGCTATCATTTATTAGGAAGCTAGGTTTCATCTGGGTGCCTGGTTGGGGTGTGTTTGAGCTGGAGGTATCAGGGGGCAAACACCTGGGCACAAACTGTTCCCCCCTGATACCTCCAGCTTAGTCTGACTCACAGACGAACACAATAGAGAAGCCTGATGATGGCAGATGAGATTCTGCCAAAACGTTGCTACAACTTTAAAAGCACAACTACAATGACGTGGGAAAATACCCGAACAAAACTGAATGCCATATATATATATATATATATATCACCTTAATTTGGATTTTTCTTTTCGTTTTTACTTTCATAATAAGCTTTATTTTTAAACTTTAGGTAGTGAAGTGATATTGTTGGTATATATTGTTATTGTGTCAGACCCCAATTTTGATTCCAGCTGGGATCTTCTCCAATTCTGCCATTCATACGTTTATGGTGCAAGTTATGAATAATATGTGTCATCTGACTCACTTATTCTGAGCTGTTCTGTTTCTTCAAATTCAGCTCTTAATAATTGTTAAGATTCTTCAAAAGAATAATCAAATGTTTTGGCACACTATTTAGCTCCCCTAGAATCCATATTCTGGCATAATTTATGTAGCACAAAGCAAAGATAAATCATCTTATATTCTCTTACTTCGTTATCTACCTTAACATTAGCTGTGTCATCTCATGTATCCCATTTTCTTCTGAAATCTGATTTTATTTGGAAATTCTCTTTTCATATTTGTATATTTCCCTGTAAATTCTTTAAGAAAACTTTCCTTTGGTCAGATATGAAAGCAGAGTCTTGGTTTGGTAATTTGCACATTCTTTTGAATTTCCTACAGTTGGTATAGAGATGCACACCAGTCTTTTCCAGACTTCGGGACACAGTGTTGTTCTATATTGTTAACATTGAACAAGAAATATTCTGGATTACCTTTCCTCTAACAGCTTTAAATACTGTAGTTCTTTTTTATTTGGTCTGTTCCTGTATTAACTCAGTTTCTTGTAAAGTTGATTCTTAAGTATGTTCTCTTTCTGAAAATGTTTCTGACATTCCATAATCTGTTTTATAAAAGTTTTCAATATAGTTGTCCCATTTTATTCTACCCTTGTTTATCATTGTTATATCTCTTCTATAATTACTTTCAGGTATTTTACTTTTGCTGTATACTTTCTCATGAATTCTCCTTAAATAAGCCTCTTTTCTTGTTATTTGTTAACATTTGGTAACATAACTTGCTTAAATTATCTTTTCCTTTATATTTTAATAGTGGAATTTTGCATATAGTTATCATACATCTTTCATGTATATATGCAAAGGAATATTTTGTGTTCAAGGAACAGGGACAAACCTGTCAGGAGGCAGTGGATTTTTACAGTTGAAGGCACTGATAAAGGTCAATGCCTATTGAAGCAAGTAGAGAGGAAAGGCTGTGCAGAAAGATAAGCAGAATTGGGATAAGTAGAAGTGATTATAGAAACAGATTCAGGAATAATCTGAAGCAGATGCAAGAAATGTAGATATAACAGACTATTTTTGCTCTGATGCAAAATAGTTTGATGAATCTTGTAGACAAAGGGCAAACATTTAAAGCACAACAAACAAACAATAAATGATCTATGAATTAATCAGATTTTC